TCTTTCCCTCCCTGGCTCCTTTTCTCCTTGGTTCTCTCCCTCCTTCCTATCCTCCCTCCCTCCTGACTGCCCTTGCTCCCTAGCCTCCTCCTTCCCTTTCTTCCTCTTTCCCTTCCTCCTCCCTCACTCTCCCTTGTTCCCTGCTTCCCTCTCTAGCTCATTTCCTTCCCTGCTCACTGGCTTCCTGGTTCATTCCCTTGCTCCCCTTCCTTTCTCTTTTCACATCTCTCCCTTTCTCCTCCTCCCTCCACCTACCTAGGGATATCCTTGTGGCTTAAGCAAGTGCTCCCTGTCTCAGCCTCAAGGGGGTTAAAAAAGCAGCTGGGGGTTCCTGGACAACCAAGAGCAGGAGGGAGAAGGAGTGTGCAAGGTGCTCTCGTTAGCAAATTTTGGAGCCAGGAGCACCCCTCTTCTGGTTATCAGGACAAAGGACCTCCACTAAGATTTTTGGAGCAGGGGTGTCTTCCCCTCACAGGATTGAGAAGTACAGAAAGACTTTTGCAAGGGTAGGTATGGAGATGATATGAGAAGAGAAGAAAGGAAGGAGCCACTGGTGAGTAGAGCAGTGGAAGGGAGAGTTTCTTGTCCTGGTCTTGTCACTAGGTTGCTGTGTGACCTTGAGCAAGTCACTTCCTCTCTCTGGGCCTCAATTTCCCTGTCTGCAAACCCAGAGGGTTGGTCCAGTTTGTGATCTGAAAATAAAGGTGTGAGAAGCAGGCTGGGGTGGGCAGTGAGGTGCAGCTAGAGAAAAGATTCAGGGGTCTTCCTGCCTCCTAGTCCTTTCCCCAAAACTAAGGTTCAACCTGCAGAGGGCAGGACATGGAAAGGTGCCCCAGATTGTGGAGGGGGGGTTTCTTCTCACCCTTGGCTTGGCTTGGACCTTCCCAGACTAGCCCCCTTGCACATCGCCCATCCCTTGGTCTTCAGTCTCTGCTTAGGTTCCCTCTGTGCCTATCTCTCTCTGTCTCTCACTGCCTATTACCCCAGCAGTGCCCCCTCCCAAACATCTTTATTCATTCCTTAGACAAGAAAACAAAGTGTGGGCTTATTTTCCATCTCTAGCTCCCTTCCTGTGGTCTCCTTCCCTCTGTTCCCCCAAGAGTAGGACTTAGATTTCCCATTTCTGGCTCTCACTCATTAGAAGAGAGATCAGTGCTTCCAGTCCCTGTGCCATATTATGCCGCTTCCAGTGCTATAAGAATCTACCACAAGAGGCCCTATCCTCTCTCCTCCTATCTCTCTGATTTTGTTTTACAGATGTACTACTCAAAAACCAGAAGCTGGCTCTCAGAGCTACCCTGAAGGTTCATGCCAGGGAATGTTATTACCTCCTCTCCTTCACCCCTCTCCTCCCCTGCCTTTCATCTCCAGGCAGAGAGGAGTGGGCTGTCTTTGCCTGGTTGTGACTGCCTCTCCTCTTCACACATAGGAGCCCAGCCCACCTTGTGTGGATGACTTCCTGTACATCTGTGATGATATTTATAAGCGAGATGAGATGCTCGCCATGGAAATCAGCATCCTAAAAACCCTCAAATTTGATATCAACATTCCCATCGCCTATCATTTTCTGCGCAGATATGCTAAGGTAAGACAGGGCAGGTGCATCTTCATTTTACCACTGCTGGGTTAGTCCCCTCCATTCCCAGAGTGGCTGCTTGAGTGGTAGGAAAAGGGAAGGGGACAACTGGGGACAGGGGAATTTCTTCTTCAGTCCACCCTCCTAGATTGGCAATCTTTATGGAGTGTGGGGGGAAGAAAATTGCATATTTCTGTGGTATGCCTATAAAGTTTTGAGGTGAGGGCAGAGTAGGGGAGGGGAAGAAGATTCTTTGATCAGGAAGGGACACTTGGGAAGTTTAGGTGACATGGCTGTCAAAGTTCTCTTCCTTCACCTGAATATTGGTTACAGGGGAAGTCACTTTGTATTGTACAAGTGTGTCTTATTGTAGGATTTGTGTGTGTGTGTGTGTACACGCACATACACACACACACACACACACACACACATTCAAGCAAGAAAAGGGAAGGAGTTCTTTGGAGCATGAAATACCTCCTAGTCTGGAACCCAGTGAAAAGTCAACAGTTGGAGGCCTTCGGCTCTTCAAAGGATGGCAAGTACAGAAAGGGGAGGTGGAGGGTACCACAATCACACTTGATAATTTGGTTTAAAACCCTGAAAATGGCAAATACCATTGCCAATTTCATAATCCCCCCTCCTAAATATTCTGTGCTTTGGGGGCAGTGTCCTTAGTGTGAGTCATGGTGGCAAAAGAGGTACATTGTTCAGGCAGAGAGCCATTTAGGCCCAAGGTGGGATAACTGGAGGGAGTGAGTGCAGGGGGTTTTCTGCTTGGTGCCAGTGTTCTGAATTGATTGCTGAGCCAGTCTTCTTCCTGCCTTTAGTGTGTCCATGCCAGCATGAAGACACTGACCTTGTCCCGCTTCATCTGTGAAAAGACCCTGCAGGAATACGACTATGTCCAGGAGAGGGCTTCCAAGCTAGCTGCTGGCTCCTTCCTCCTGGCCCTCTACATGAAGAAGCTCGGACACTTGGTAAACACTTGTGGGCGGTGGGGAAGAAGGAGTAGGGATTTTTAAAAGCATATTTATTTATTTGTTTTATTTTTGGCTGCATCGGGTCTTAGTTGTAGCATGTGGGCTCTTCATTGCAGCATGCAGGCTTCTCCTTAGTTGTGGCACATGGGCTCCAGAGTGTGTGGGCTCAGTAATTGTGGCACGTGGGCTTAGTTGCCCCGTGGCATGTGGGATCTTGGTTCCCTGCCCAGGGATCAAACCCCCGTCCCCTGCATTGGAAGGCAGATTCTTAACCAGTGGACCACCAGGAAAGTCCCAGGGATAGGGATTTAAAAGCACAGGGTCAGCTCAGGAGGAAGGTGTAAACTAGGGCTGTGGGAAACTCTGTGACAAAACTACTACATACCTGCCGTTATGAATCCTTTAACATCTTGACAACTTAGGGGCCTGGCTGCCTAAAGGGTTTCTAGAGCCATGGTTTTAAAGTATTTTATTTCACTTTTCTTCATCACAGTACCCTTTCTTCCAAAGACAGTTTACCTGGAAGCTCAGTATCACAAAACAGACTAATGTGAAATTATTCTGATTGCAGCAGGGGGTGGTGTGGACCCACTTCTTGCCTGACCCCATTCCACCCCTGCTCCTTGCAGCCCCCTCAGCAAGGTTGGCCCCCCAAGGGAGCTCATTGGAACAGGATTTGGAAAGCACTGACCCAGAGAACAGAGTAGTGAAAGCAACTGTGCATATGTATATGTATAACAGGGGACTCAGAGATATACTATTGTGCTCTTCTCTGAGGAGGAAGGCCCCCACATCCTCCTTCTCCAATACAAATAAAATGCATGTTTGATACTTGCTCAATTTTATAAAAACTTGTGAATAAAAGTAACTTTAGAAAACTATGAATTTTTACTGACGTGTAACATGCAATCCAATAGAAAAAGTATGCTTGCAAATGAGCATGCTCTTCCCAACCACTCCTAAGACCCTGCAGCCTAGAAATTCTAGCACCACTACTGATGGAGAAACCTCTGTGTGCTGAGGAAGAACCCTATAAACAGTTGTGTGAATTTGGACAAGGCACTGAAATTTCTTGGGACAGAGAAAGCATTAAGTAAATGGCAGGGATGACGATGAGAAAGAATACGTAATAACAATGGCTAGCATTTATTGAGTGCTTAGACAGTGAACTAAACACTTTGTCTATTAACTCAATCTTCACAACAACCCTATGAGATCAGCACTATTATCCCTATTGTACAGATAAGAAATAACTTCCCATGTTTGGCTAATGAGAGGCAGAGCTAGGATTTAGGAACTAGGAGTCTGTTCAAAGAATATACCTACTCTATAATCAGAATGGATGTGGCCGTAGCCCCGGAGCCATGATCTTGGAGGCCCCATGCTGACCCAGGCTTTTACCCTTGGATCCTGGGGAAGGCTGGTAGGTCCTGAGGGAGGACACTTGAGAGGCTCAGGGCAGCAAACTGCTTGCCAACCAGTATAAAAATATTTCAGTGTTTTAACACTTGGCATGGCTGTACCAGTGACTAAGTGTCAGCCCTGATCTGAACCCAGGTAGTCTGGATCCATAGTCCTCTACACTATATATACTGCTATAGATGAGAAAGACTTCACAGAGGAGGTGACTTTTGAGTTGGGTCTTGAGAGATGAGTAGGAACCTTGAGAAAAGACATTCTAGGCAGAGGGAACAACAATTGAAAAGATGTGAAAGCAATAAGAAAACAGTATGATGTATTCAGGGCAGAATAAGACATTTCCTATGGATAGAGCAGAGGACGTATGAGTAGGGAATGGTGAGAGGTGAGACCAGAATGGTAGAGTGTGGTCAGATTGTGAGAGGCCTTTGATGCCATGCTGAAAGATCCATTTTACACTAAGGCATTGCAAGTTTTTAAGGCAGGGGAGTGACATCTTCCTGTTTGTATGTTTTGGAAACAGTACTAGTATATAGCAGTATGGAAGGTATATTAGATGAGAGAGCGTATGTGAACGTATCAACACCAGTGAGTGGGCTTTTATAATAATGAATGTGAAGCGTTGGGGCAGTGAACAATTGAACAATGTGAAGAATTGGGGCAGTGACAGTAGGGCTGTTAATCTTAATTAACACACCCAATATGATGTGTTATCCCATGTGTCACTCCCCTGCTCAGCATGCCAATGACTGCCCTATGCCTGTGGCAGTGGTTTCCAAAGAGTATTCAGTAGAGCCCTGGGATTCCTGCAGAAGTATCTCAGGGGACATGTAAAAGTTAAAGGGATCCAAATTGGTGGGCTTCTTAGTTCCCACCCCCAATTCCGGGTAAGATATTTGGGCTTCCTGGTAAGATATTTGGGAAAACATGAGTTCAGGGAAAATAATTTAAGACATTTTAAGAAAACCACTGCCTCACAGAATAATGAATTTTCTTTTCTCTACCTGTGGAACTCCCACTAGACTTTCAGTACCTATTGCAGATGTGCCGTCCTCTGCAAAGCTTTTTGTGACTTTCCCAGCCAAAATTCATGGGTCCTGCAGCTCTGTTCCTCCACTGTCCCATGATCCCTTCCATTGTAGCACTTCCCACACATTTTGTAATTCTATGTGTGCATGTCTGTCTCCCCAACTAGACTACAGACTCCTCAAGAGCAGGAGCCTTAGTCATCTTTGTATTCCCAGCATCCTGTATGGGGCTTGGTAATATCCTAGCTAGCATTGTTTGGGTATGTGCTAGATTCTTTTCCGTGTGCTTTATGTCTATTAACTCATTTAAGCCTATTATATAACTACTGTAATCGTCCCTATTTGGCAGATTTGGAAACTGAGGCACCTAGAGGTTAAGTAACTGGCTCAAGGCCATGCTGTTAATGGAGCTGGAATTTGAACCCAGGCAGTTTGCCTCCAGAACCTTTGCTCTTAAACACTCTGCTATATTCCTTTTGCCACATGATAGGCATCCTTAAAGTTGACTGAGAAAATGAATGCATGAAATGATAGCTGTTTGAGCCAGAGAGGAGGAACAGCCTTAAGTTCCTGCTGGCTGTTTAGTTGGGACCTCAAGTTCGTTCTGAGGTTTGCCTGGCCATTGGCTCTTAACCTGAGAGTAAGTAACAAAGTCAGTCCTGTTCCTTAAATTCTTTGGTGGATTTCAGTTTCAATACCTATGGCTAGGGCTAATATCCAGCTGGTGCATATGGATATAGCCATATCAGTAGCCTGCAGCTGGAACATAGTCTTCTAGGTAGTACCCTATAATTATTGGTCGGTGTCTGTGCTCTATGAGTCTTTGAATTGTTTGACTTTCTTCCCTGCCTGTACTATGGATAGGAAGTTTCGATTTGGGTATTGGAGACGGGAAGTATCTGCTTCCTGTTGTAAAAGTCACTGTCCATGTTGCTTCTTCCAGGCTCCTACCCTGGAGTATTACAGTGGCTACAAGACCTCTGATCTTCACCCCTTGGTCAGGCAGCTGAACATCCTGCTGACTTTGCGTTTGTGCAATAGGCTCAAGACTGTGCATTCCAAGTATTCCCACCAGTAAGTACCAAGCTCCAGTTGAGGCTGGGTTTGTGCTCAGTCATGGGGAGGCCCAGACTAACCTCATTTAAGGGAAAAGAAAGATTCAGGTACTTTTTACCTTACTTTCTGCTCCAGAGTTAAAGCAAGATAGGGAACCAAGGGCCTATGTCCCACTTATTCCATGGAGCCTGCTTGCTTTGGGCTATTTTACACTGAGCAGACCCCTCTTCCTTTTGCAGGGTCTTCTTTGAAGTCACCAAAATCCCGCCCTTGGACGTGTTGAAACTGGAGGAGATTTTGAACTGCTGCTAATTCTGAGGCTGAGGGTCTGGTACTCTGGCAGCAGCCACCGGGGCCAGGCAGGCATGTAAATAAGCTGTATTTATTCTGTCCTTGAATTTGTCTTTTCATCACTTTTCTTCATTTTTACTGTTTGTCTATTCCCAAACTGATAATGTTGTAAATATTTGTGTTTTTTTATGAAAGAGAAGAAATTATTGTTGTATTTGATTAGAAATTTAATAAAAATTAATGGTTGTTGTTAAAATGGCTCACTTCCCCCCTTATTGCTCAGGAGCCCCACATGTAGCCCTGTTTTTTTTCCTGCCTAGTAAAGGCTGTGCCTCAGGGTCTAGCTTATCCAGTTTCCCTCTCTGTTTGGAGACTTTCTCTTCACAGGAAGAGGAATTGAGCTAGGTGTGAAATGATGAATGAGTCTGTAGAAGGAGGATCCTGGTGGTGGGAGGTGTAGTCTAAAGAGACCCCACTACCCGATGGGCCTCAGTGTTCAGATCTGGGGCAGCTGGAAGCGTGGGCCAATACCCTTTGGTCCCCATTTCAGGTTGCCAGCTTTCCTTGCTTCTTCCTAGATGATGAAAAGGTAGGGATAAGGATTTTCACTGAAATGTACCCCTACTTTTGTAGTAAGGTGGCTTTCTAGAGTCTAAATTTGAAAAAAACTTTGAGTGGTGCACTGAAGTCTCTTTTGGTCCTTCAGTAAAGAGGAGAAATTTCCACCTGTGAAATCAGCAAGATGTCCCATGAATGTAAGCATCAACCAGTTGCTCAATCCTTCATTCATAAAGCTTTAAGGAGGTTCTACTCTCTCTCTCTCTACCCTATGTTTGGGGTAATGTGTACTGATACAGGTACTTCAGTTGTTAACAGAGGACTTGAACATCTTCTGTGCTGGTTGATGAAGAGCCACTGCCTCAATCTTGCCTCTAGGACCTCTGGGACCTCCCCACAATCTAGCAACTGAATCAAGTAATGTCTGTCATAGCAGGAGACCTCCAAGACTCTGTTCTAGTACTGTGGCTGGCAACTGTTGTGATTGCTCTGTGGCTGATTGTTATCACTTTTCAAATATTTTGAAAATTAGTCCTGGAGGTGGATATCTGGTAGAGGGGGCAGTCATTGAAGACTCCCCAATTCTGACCCAAGAATCCCTATGCTAGTCTGGTCATATCTCCTTTTCTGAAGGGTTGGACACAGGAGGGAGAGCATGTCATGCCCTTAGATGTCTTAGTGCTTTCTATTTTTAAAAAACTTTTTTATTTTTTTGTTTCCTCAAATTTTATTTCTTAAAAACTTTTATTGGAGTATAGTTGATTCACAACGTTGTGTTAGTTTCAGTAAAGTGATTCAGTTATACATATACATATATGTATATGTTCTTTTTCAGATTCTTTACCCATATAGGTTATTACAGAATATTGAGTAGAGTTCCCTGTGCTATACAGTAGATTCTCATTGGTTATTTTGTATATAGTAGTGTGTGTATGTTAATCCAAAGCTCCTAATTTATCCCTCCCCCCTCCATGTTTCCCTTTTGGTAACCATAAGTTTGTTTTCAAAATCTGTGAGTCTGTTTTAGTTTTTAATTGGAGTATAGTTGATTTACAATGTTGTGTTAGTTTCAGGTGTACAGCAAAGTGAATCAGTTATACATATACATATACCCACTCTTTTATATTTTTATTTTTATTCTTATTTTTTTTGCGGTATGCGGGCCTCTCACTGTTGTGGCCTCTCCCGTTGCGGAGCACAGGCTCCGGATGCGCAGGTTCAGCGGCCATGGCTCACGGGCCCAGCCGCTCTGCGGCATGTGGGATCTTCCCGGACCGGGGCACAAACCCGTGTCCCCTGCATCGGCAGGCGGACTCTCAACCACTGCGCCCCCAGGGAAGCCCCATTCTTCTTCTTTCTTTATTTATTTAATAATAAATTGGGTCTTTGTTGCTGCGCACAGTCTTCCTCTAGTTACAGTGAGTGGGGGCTACTCTTCATTGCAGTGTGTGGGCTTCTCATCGTGGTGGCTTCTCTTGTTGCGGAGCACGGGCTCTAGGCCCACGGGCTTCAGTAGTTGTAGCACGTGGGCTCAGTATTTCACTTAGTATGAGAATCTCTAGGTCCATCCATGTTGCTACAAATGGCATTATTTCGTTCATTTTTATGGCTTATTGTATATGTACCACATCTTCTTTATCCATTCATCTGTCAATGGACATTTAGGTTGCTTCCATGTCTTGGCTATTGCAAATAGTGCTGCAGTGAACATTGGGGTGCATGTATCTCTTTGGAGTATGGTTTTCTCTGGATATATGCCCAGGAGTGGGATTGCTAGATCATATGGTAGTTCCATTATTAGTTTTTTAAGGAACCTCCATACTGTTCTCCATAGTGGCTGTACTGTGTGAGGTGATACCTCGTAGTTTTGATTTGCATTTCTCTGATAATTAGTGGTATTGAGCATCTTTTCATGTGTTTGTTGGCCATCTGTATATCTTCTTTGGAGAAATGTCTATTTAGATGTTGTGTCCATTTTTTTGATTAGGTTGTTTGTTTTTTTGACACAGAGCTGCATGAGCTGTTTGTATGTTTTGGAGATTAAACCCTTGTTGGTCACTTTGTTTGCAAATAGTCTTAGTGCTTTCTTACCCATTGTGTCAATTTTCCATTCTCCCTCCCAACTTGCTTTGCCTTGATGACCAGATATCATTAGGTTCCCTCTTGCCCCATCCCACTGCCTTGCAGGATGACTAAAGGGTACAGCCACAGAGGTCCAAGCTGCTTGGCAGTGATTTAGCTGGTACAGCCAACTAAGTGTAAACATGCTAAAAGCACTAGGCTGGAAGCTGCCTTGCAAATCTCCAGCCTCACTAAAAGAAAGTGTCTTGTTTGTACCTGCGTTTTAATTCTGGAGCTTCATCGGGGAAACAACTGGTTTATTTCCTCTCCTTTGTTCCAACTCCATTGTTCTTTAGAGGTGCTAGTGGAACCATCAGTCATTTTTGTTATAATCATTGCACATGTCTCAAAATTTATTTTACACTCATCACTACTTCAGAGTTAAGGTAACTATTAGATCTGGATCTTGTTGTTTAATGCCTTTCTAAAGAAGCACATCTATTTCTTTATCAAGAATTTGTGTTTATATTTTGATTCTTCTAGTTCAGCATAACTGGTTTTCTTTGTAACCTTATGGATTTTTAACATTTTTATTGAGGTATAATTCACACATCATACAATTCACCCACTTAAAGTGTACAATTCTATAGTTTTTCATATATTCACAGAGTTGTACATCTTTCACCATGATCTAATTTTGGAACATTTTCATCACCCCAAAAAGAAACCCCATACCCAGTAGCAGTCAGTCTCCATCCCCACCCCCCAACCCTAGACAGCTACTGATTTATTTTCTGTCTCTATAGATTTATCTGTTCTGGATATTGCGTATAAATTAAATCTTACAATGTGTAGCCTTTTGTGTTTAGCTTTTTCACTTAGCATAATGTTTTCAGGGTTCATCCACGTTGTAGCATGTGTCAGTATTTCATTTCCTTTCATTGCTGAAAAACATTCCATTGTATGGATATACCACATTTTGTTTATCCAGTCATCAGTTGATGGAAATGTGGATTTTTCCCACTTTTTGGCTATTATGAATAATTCTGCTTTGAACATTCATGTACAAGTTTTTGTGTAGACATGTGTTTTCATTTCTCTTGGGTATATACTGAAGAGGGAAATTGCTGGACCACTTTACATTACCACCAGCAGTGTATGAGGGTTCACATTTCTCCACATCCTCTCCAACATTCTTTATTATCTGTTATGGCAATTCTAATGGGCATGAAGTGGTATCTTACTGTGGTTTTGATTCACATTTCCCTGATGGCTAATGATGTTGGACATTTTTTTTCTTGTGCTTATTCACCATGTATGTATCTTCTTTGGAGAGATGTCTGTTCAAATTATTTGCCCATTCTTTTTTTTTTTTTTTTTTTTTTTTTTTTTTTTTGCAGTACGCGGGCCTCTCACTGTTGTGGCCTCTCCCGTTGCGGAGCACAGGCTCCGGACGCGCAGGCTCAGCGGCCATGGCTCACGGGCCCAGCCGCTCCGCGGCATGTGGGATCCTCCCGGACCGGGGCGCGAACCCGTGTCCCCTGCATCGGCAGGCGGACTCACAACCACTGCGCCACCAGGGAAGCCCTTGCCCATTCTTAATTGGGTTATTTATTTCTTTATTATTGAGTGGTAAGAATTCTTTGTATAATCTGGATCATATATATGATTTGCAAACATTTTCTCTGATTTTGTGGATTGCCTTTTCACATTCTTGATTGTGTTATTTGAAGCATAAAAGTTTTTAATTTTGATGAAGTTTAATTTATCTAAGAAACCATTACCTAGTTTAAGGTCATGAAGTTTTATCCCCAGTATTTCTTCTCGGAATTTTATAGTTTTAGCTCTTACATTTAGGTCTTAAATCTATTTTGAATTAATTTTTGTATACGGTGTGCTATAGGGGTCCAACTTCATTTTCTTGAATGTGGACATGTTACTGAATTGGTCGCCTGGACCCATGCCGGGGTCCTAGCCCAGGCCAAGTCCTGTTGTCTTGGCCAGGGAGGTTCTTTTTCTGATCCGATTTGCCAGTAATGAAACCGATGCTGAGACTGGAACAGCACAAGCTTTATTCAATAGCCAAAGAATGGGGAAGTGGGAACCTCGTTTGCAAATCAGCTTCTCAACCCAATTTGGGTGGAGACACCATATATATAGGAGGGTTGATGTAAAATGGAGGGAATTGGAAAGAGAGGGAGGAATATGCATGATTTATCTGAGAACAGAAGTGTGGTTTGGACCAGAACTGAGGCAACACTCCTTTTTAGTCCTTGTATGGACTTTTCTGATTGTTGTCATGGCAATTGTTAACTGTCAAGGCACTGGTGGGTGTGTCATTTAGCCTACTAATGTATTACAATGAGCATATCGTGAGGCTCAAGGCCTACTGGAAGTCAAATCTTCCACCATATTGGGCCTAGTTGGTTCTAACCAGTTCTTGTTTTTCTCTTTGCAGCTTCCTCCTGAAACTTAGGTAAGAGCACTTGGTTTCCATTCAAGGAAGGTACAGGGGTATGATTCTGGGGCAACAGCCTTGGTAACATATCCAGTTGCCCCAGTACCATTTGTTGAAAAAACTATTCTTTCTCCACTTAATTATCTTGGCACCCTTGATGAAGATTAATTGACTATAAA